TATATAGAGAGATACGAAATCTGTGGCCCGGATAAATCACCAGACTCTCCGGTCATTAGTTCCAGCCGCACACATTATCTAGTTACCTTCCAAATGGCCCTGCATGTCTGAAACAACGGTCGAGAATGGCCAATATCAAGCCCGATTAAATCATTTGTTTCACAAGGGTCTTTCATTGGAAAATTAAACCGATTTATTTAGACAAACAAAAAGAGACAATAAGAATAGTCTCTGTCAAATGCAGCAGATATTTTCTTCTTTTGTATCAAAAAAAGCTCAATGCTATTGAAGTTCAACAGTTTCATTCAACCTCGGATGGTATTTTCCAATACATACAAAAATGTAGGTAAAATAAACCAGGCAAAGGGGATTTGAAACCAGAAAACTTAGGCAAATTTTGGATAATCAACACAACTTATATTACTATTATTTTACTTTCATTTCAGCAAGTTAAAATACCGATTCTATACAATAATTCGTTTTTGTTTCGCAATAATAATTTTTATAAAATTTTTGTTAGTAAATGCAAAAAAAATCCCGAAATGGCAGTAATCTAAGTTTTGCATTTATTATTTGATATCAATTATATATATAAATAATATTTATTTCCTACAGAAAAAGGCTATCGACCCAATCGGTCTTTCTGCCCTTGTTTAGTACATATGTCTTAGCCTAGCTTATTCTAAACTTAATTCCTATTCCTAACACTCATATAAATTAATCGGCTATCATATCGGATATCAATTAATAAACTCATAATTTAACTAAACATCGATAATAAGAAATGTTTGAAAAGATAAGTACGTGATTGCTTCGGACCTTTCCTGCCAATGTGTATATGCTTGTATAACTAACAATTAAAAACAAATTATCAATTTGTTTTCATTGCATTTCTATTCATACTTTAGTTGTCTTTGAGACAAGTAGAAAAGCTTAAAAGTGCTCTTTTGCAGAAAAATTCGTAACACACTGAATCAATTAACAAATAACTCTACATTGTCGAGATCTAAACAACTTCCAGAAGAATCAAATACAATGTCGCATTTCTTATCAACGATTTTTTATTGTTGCTAAAATATACTATCACCCTATATATTTGAAAATTTCAAATTTTCCTGCCTATGTAATTGAGGGGGAATATGGGCGAATCCATATAATTAAAACAGTTTTTCTGTTGGCTTAATATCAAAGGCAATTTACCACGTTTATTGGATTTTTCAATGTTAATCTAAATTTAACCCACCCTAACGAAATTTTAATTACGTGAATGATTTATTATGGTTTAACGTGTATTTTAATTTTAAATTGCATTCTCCTCTCTGAAAAAAAATAGGGAATTTATTGCTTAATGAGAAAAAGTGTAATAAAGATTACGGCAAATTGGTAATTATGATAATATGTATTCAATTTTTTTTCGCTTACTATTAAATTGCATATATTTACAAGCATTTTTTTGAATATTGACGTTATATTACCGAGACATGTTTAGTTAGTAATTGGTTCTGATAATGTTTGTTGCACTTTTTTTCTTGGGAACTCATTTTTTTCCAATTTACTATTTATTATATAATAACAGCAACTTGTGAACTCAGTGTTTCTTCATCTATGCCACTTAGAAAAGAAACAAACACTAATAATGTCGATAGTCTCAATAAAAATCGAAAATTTCAGATACATGAGTCACATCATAATCCAATTGATTTTTTATCAACACGTTGTGAGCCTGCCCGGCCGGTTCAAAAAAGTATTATAGTTTAAGGGAATTTATTGTCGACACCAGGGGCCCAACATAAAAAGTCCATAAAGCGTGAAATATTGCGTCGGACATTAAGACGAAATGCTCACAAGCATGTGTGGCCTAAAACACGTGTAATTTAGAATGGGATTTGGTAAGTGACATTTTTCAATTCTGATTAAATTTATTTTGTAAAGGCGAAACAATAGTTCTTCTAGCTACTACTGTGTGTTCTAAGCGGAGGGTGATTCAAGAATAGTTTGACTCATTTCTTGGTCGCTTTTCATAGACTATTTCGTAGCTGCTAGGGTTCTTTGAAATTCCTTGCCTTCATTCTGTTGGTATTCTCAGGAAGCACTTCTTCTGTTACAACCGATGCGCTGTTTTGAGTTAAAAATTCAGCTGCTTGTGTAATGTTTTTTGTTAATTTGTCAACTTTCGTATTTGTGTACTTATATACGCGCGTAATCTATAGCGACAAAGTCCTCTAATTGCTCTGTGTTATTTGAAAAATATGCCGTTTCAAAATGCAGTAAGGGAATCAGAAAAATCGACCATCATCTACTTATAGCGTAATCTTAAATTCATCTTTTGTACTATTTTTATTCTGTATTATTTTCCTTTTACAACTCTAATCAAAACATCAGAAATAAAAATCAATATATGAGGCTCAAATTTCAAAATAAATCTACTGGGACCCAAGAGAAAATTGCTACAATAAACAATATTTCCACGATACATAAAATTAATCAAAAACTAATTTTAGCTAATGTTAGCAAACAATAATTCTTACCAAAATAATAATATAAACAAGCATTTTTTACATGGGTAGAATGATCATCTGCTGCAAAACTTCTTGAAAGATTTGTAATTTAATGTATAAAAATATTTATGTACAAAATAGAGATTTTTTATTTTCTCAGTCAAAAAGCTCTAAGTTTCAATAAAAATAAAACATAATGAAAGAAAGATTAAACTGCAGATGGTCCGATAAGAGTTTTGCCTGTTTACGATATTTTCACTTTATTTGATGATTGATTGATTTGATAAACGTATATCAAAATTTTTGAACAATTGGAAAAAAAACAGTAAGTCATGACGCTTCTTGATCTATAGCACAAAAACAATATTTTTTGAAAAGGATTGCGGAAATAAATTAAACCCGATAAATACGAAGATTACAAATGATTTTCCGTCAAACGCAGTGTTTCAAAACTCCACTACAATTTTCAATGTTTAGCCTAGAATCTTATCCTTAAATAGAATCTATTTATTGTAAAACCGCTGAAACATTACTAGAATTCCCTGAAAATATTGAACTCAAAAAGTGAGGACATATACTTCAGGTTGTGATCTGCTGGATTAAGTGTCTTTACTAAGCAGTGTGGTGTCCAAAGACTAAAGGTTGAATTCCCTATCGAGCAATTAAATTTTGCTTTCGACTTTCGGAAAAACAGCACCATTTAAATATAATTAATTATATGCATTAAATTGAAGATAATTTCTTGATGATTCACAATTGGCGTCATTCCTCTCGAGGTGTTGTCTGGCGCTGTTATAGTAGTACAGAAAAAAAAGTAAAACAAATTAATTGTTATTAAAAACTGAGAAATTTGCAAAGAAGTATATCAGGAATACGGCAGCAATGTTTTTCAAGGTAATCTGCCTAATGAACATTGCGGAAATACCTGTTGCTTCGTAATTATTTAAAATTCCGGTAACCATGGAATTATACAGACTGACAATAAGAGACAAGGATAAACGGTAAATTGAACAAGATTTCTGTTCTGTCTGTTCTCATAACCTCGAATATTGGTGTTTAAAAATAAACCATACAACACCAAACATTTGAATGGTTAACTCCAAACAAGCTAGTGCCTCTATATCTCCTTATTATCCACTCTTATCAAACAGCTTCTCATATTCAGTTAATTAACTCGTGCTCCATTTGTATCTCCTTGTGCTGTGCGTATCGTACAAACGTAGTAGGAATATAGCCGGTATTTATTTGGTGTCTGGGAAAGTGTCAGTTATTGTGTTCTAAGTGTCCCTGGAAGGCCCTGATTCGATTATGTCCAGTACTTCTTCCTCTGTGCCTGGAACCCGAAATTGGATTGTCGTCCACTATTTTCCTGGAACCACTCTCCTCGCCCTTTGTTGGCGTAAGTTCTTCCAGCTTCTGCCATGTTACTGTAGCATTTTCCCTGAACTAATCGCACATCCGGAAATTCAAAGTAAGTCACAGCTTGACAAAATATTGTTATTATTGACAAGGGCTATCCACCTGTAACTATCTGTTAATGACAAAAAACATGTATACTGCTGTGCCTTTTCGTCAAAAAATAGTAGAAGAGTTCTTGATATCAAAAACTTTCGTAATTTGAAGCAAATATCGTAATTTTTATTTTTGAATGCTTAAGTATACCAATATGCTACCAATTAAACATGGAACAATTTCAAAATAATGCTTAATAACAAAGTTGACATTCGATCTTCAACTGTAGATACCTCCTAAAAATTTTCGAAAAAAAAAATTTCGATATTTTTTTCGTGCTCTCCAAGTGAGCCTCTATCACCCCTTAAAAGGAATGACGCCAATTTTGAATCACCCTGTATACGACAGTAGCTTAACATTATTTTTGGGTCTTGTAGCTGAAGCTGAACAAATTCCCATTCAAAAAGCAATGCCCAATAACATTAAGATATCACATTTTGCGAAATATTGCAATGTTGTGCTTCAATTGGGTCCGTTGTCTTCTTTTTACTGTTTATTTAAAATTCGAACAAAAACTTAAATTTGAACAAAAGTAAAACTATACACGATGAATTCAGATGCGTACCCTTCTTCGCGAGTGAAGTGATAAGAACATGCAATGAAAGTGAACCCTGGAAAATTAATTTTGAAAGAAAGATGTGAAGTTAATAGTTGCATGCCTTCTACTTTAGTCAAAGTAATTTCGACGCAACTACCATTGAAGATGTTAGTAAAAAAACCAGCGAAGGCTTAAAATTATAAAACCCTAATCCATGACAACCGTCAATTATTATAAATTACCTCATTTAAAATCCCCACTAAGCATTGCTCATAGGAAAAATCCTATATTTGATAATACTAGAGACAAATGCATAGCTGATTAATGAGTTATCAAACCGTAAATAAACAATAGTGTCCTAATGATTTGCAATAAAATATTCTGTTACACAATCAAGTTAATATATATGTAAATAAATTGAACGATCAGCGTCTAGTGCGTGAGTCATTCTTCAGTAAGACATATTGAAAAAGCACAAAATTAGATAATTGTACTTGAACTAAACCTAAATAATCCATGCAATTGGCACTGTAGTATAAAGTCAGTTCACAACATAGCGTTTAGAGGCAAATAGCAAACACCTAGGAAGTTTAAAAGTCTAATTTCTTGTTGGTAAGAAGATTAAGTTGTTTCAAGCGACTCAATAGATGCTTGCGACGCAGTGCAACCAACAACTTTTAAATGCAAAATAAACACGGGAGAATAACCCACACTTAATTTATATTCCAAAGTTCTTTTTACTTCTCGTGTGGTTAAATGCTGAGATTAAAATATAATTGAAAGTATTTGAAAGATTCTTTGAATCAGTGTACAGAGATGTGTGAAGTCGATTGTATTGATACAAACATTAAGCGGTGGATTCGCGATGCGTTTAAAGACGACAAGTTCAAAATCATGTCAATCGACAAAACTGGATCAACATCAGAAGGTGAGGGTTATATTGGCAATATAAGTTTTGTAACAGTTACGGCTCTGACCCCGTCTAACAACCCGAAGATATTCAATCTGGTCATCAAATATGCAAAGTCACTGAATCCTGAGGAAGTTCTCTTACCATTTCAACTTGCGTATGAAAGAGAAAATCTCATATATGGTACAGTCGTTCCAGCGTTTCACGAATTTGAGAAGCAATATAATAACGTAATTACGGACAAACATTTGCCCAAGTGCTTTGGAACGCTTTCCTATGGAAAGCTGAATATATTGATTTTGCAAAATGTGAAAGCTGAAAATTATCAGCTTCATGAATTACACCGACCATTAAATTTGGAACATTTGAAACTCACGTTCTCCAGCTATGGAAAATGGCATGGGTTAAGCCTGGCATATCGACACCATCGCCCTAAAAAATTCGAGAACATGTTTGGTAACTTACGAAGATGTGTATTGCAAGATGTGATGGAACTGTCCCACAAAGCGGTGCAAACAAGCGAAGAATGTATGTACATAATGCTAGAAAACAACAACGAATTGAAAATCATGGAGAAACTGAGAAAGTTGTTCCCAGATGGGTTTTCTTCTGAAATCATTCGCGTGTTAAAATGTCAAGCTGACGAAGAAAAAATTGTTCTTGGACATGGAGATTGCTGGAATAACAACTTTATGTATAAATACTCGGTAAGTCGCAATCATTTTAAATTCACAATGATGTGTAGTCAATAATATAGTAACAATGCTGTGTAGTAATAAATCAATATTTATAATTTTCGGCTGTCATAATAATTACCACGAAATGTGAGTTTATTAGAGTCACTTCTCATTAGTTTTGATTAGTTGAAACATTAATTAAATATAGTTTTTCCGTTGAAGAAAATCAAAATACAATCCACTTTCATAAACGTAGCAAAACCCAATGTTTTCAAACATACTTCACCAAACGACTGGCCTTCAGAAAATCACAAGTTAAAGTCCAAACGGGTCTAATTAATAAATTAATTAAACAGGATTTGTTTTTGCAGGAGCTGGACCAATCGAAACCTGAATCGGTATTGTTCCTGGATTTCCAAATCTCCTCTCCAGGTTCTCCAGTTTTGGATCTAAGCTATCATCTTTACGCCACCGCGTCTGGACAGGAGCTAGCGCACTTGAAAGAGCTATTGGACATCTACTACTCTTCATTATCTGATACTTTAAAGAAGTTTGATTGTGATCCGGAAGTGGTATTTCCTTATAGCGAACTTGTGTTGCAATGGAAAAAGTATTCAGCGTTTGGAGTGATGATGGCAATATTCGTGTTGCAGTTTCTCTTAGCGGACAAAGAAGACATTGTAGATTTTCGAGATGTTGGAGGCGATAATTTTTCCGCTACCCTGCTAAAGTTAGCGAAAGGGAATGGAAGAGCTTATCCACGACTGCTTGCTGCTATTAAGCACTATTTGGACTTTGAGGATTTCTAATTCCAAATTAGGATACCTGGTAGTACTTTAAAAGCCGAATTAGTTTCGAAATTTAGCTGGATCACTTGTTTGGATAAATGTAATATACATTATTTTTATCGATTTTCCACATAAACTTGCCTTTTGAGTGAATAAATGCACACTGATTAATTAGGCGCCTCACTTCAAAAAAATCTATATGCAATTGTACTGTTCAATATATTCAACAAATTTGCAGTTTTGACTATTAGACTTGCTTTGCTTTCGGCGTCTGCATATTCAACAAACATTAGTTTATTACTGTTATTAAGTTATAAAACAGGTATAAAATAAAATATAAAAAAAAGAATGCAACAGAATATCCTACTCTTAAAACACAATTTTCTCATCTCCTTTCCCCAAAATCCCACAAATACAAAATCAGATACCTACCGTTAATTTCGAAGGTTTTTTATTTGCAAAAAATGTGCATTTCTATTTTTTAGTGTAATTTTAAAAGCCGTAGACAAATTATAAAAGTAGCCGATGTTAAAAGCCCTTAATATTCTGCGATTCACTATGCAGAATGTTTTTTTAGGGAAATGTTCACACGCATTACGCATATGTTATTTCGTTACAAATAATTTTAAACGAAAATTAATTTGTTTTAATAGTTTAACCACGATATTAAGAATTCAAAAATAATAGATTTTACACATAAATCTGCCGCTTATTCCCGAGTAGCTATTTATGCGATTCCTTGAGTAAATAAATGTACAGTGATTAATTAGGCGCGTATCTTCAAAGAAACCGACACGCAATTAGTTCAATATTTTAAATCAATTTAATTTAAAAATTAATTGCCATAGTTTCTTGGTCACCCTAGTTTATATAGGACAGTTTTGATTAAGCGATTTGCTTGGCCTTGGATGTCTAGCTGTTACACTCTCACATACTTAAAATTATTCTAAAGTTCTTCGAGTGTTGTGTAAAAATATGTGAAAGTTGTGAGACCTGTTACTATTTTATCAAAGTCATGAAAAACTCTTTGTACTCGAAAGTCTTCAAACAAACTTGGATATGGATTAGCTATAAGATTTATTTATAAAAATTATAATTTTTTAAATTTATTTATTAAAATTTGTGCAAACTGTCGATGCAGCGAACTTGGGCAGTTAAAATATTTTCAAAAAATCTCCGCAACAGTAGATGCTCTTAAAAACAATTTTCTCATACTCTTATACATGACCTCTACCTAAATATATAAAAAAACATAACCTCGTTTGTTAATTTGGTGCCCGTAATTGCCACAAAAAAATAAAAGGTAAAGTCAGATACCCACCGCCAATTTTAAATGTTATTTCGTTGTAAAATAAACGTACTCTGTTGTCTTTCAATATTAGTTCAAAAGTCGTAACAACTTATGCGCTTATCTTATCGGGATTCATTTCAATAGATCAACTGTTTGAAAGCCATTAGTATTTCCTCAATTAGCAGCGTTTTAAAAATATTATCTTAAAACAGATATGTCGGTAATATGCGCACTTTTTTCCACAGGAATGTTCAGATTTTTATATGGTATATAATTTAAAAAAAATGGTATTTCAACAAACATCAACTTGTTTTAATAGTAGTTTCTTTGTTAATTTAACCAATAATTTAATCTAGTCAATATTGGTTCGCCTGCAAGCGAACAATTTTTTAAAGACTCTTGCGATCCTGAACCAGCGTAACATGGTAGGCAGGGATTCTCTGGTTGATGAATCCTAGACATTGAAGACCGGTTTACGCTAATGGTAGCTTCAATTTGTTTTGGGATTATTTTACAATTTTCAATAACTTTCTCTCCTCGCTGACTATACTGACTATACATTAACCAACTTTATTAATATTTTCTTAATCCAAATACTTTTCACCGAAGGAATTGAGCCAAAATAGGAATATTTATAAATATAAGTTACCAATGGCGAATCATAAATTCAATTTGAATTGATTGATTTGATTGAGTGTACATTGCATGGACCTTTCGTTCAAGGTTTGAGCAAGTTTCGTTTTTTAAGGCATCCTTCTGGAAATTTTCTGGGATAGATTAGGATAAACTATGAACTACGCACGCACTTTTCTACTTGTTGACATTCAATCTAAGGTTTCTTAAAAAATCATCAGATTAAATTACATTCTAGATCATATTGAGCCTGATTATTGAACATACAAAATATTTTAAATTAGCAAACTGGTAGTAAGTAGGTTTGACTCTATTAAAATATTACAGAGCAAAATTCGTTCTAGTTTTGAAGGAAAATACTTTTTTTAAAAATCGGAACACATCAAATTATATTTTAAAACGAACCTTGAAATTTCCATAAGTTATGTGGCCAAGGGATCGAAAATGTGTTAAGGTACTGTTCAGAAAATTCCGGAAAAATGGAAATTTACCTGTTATAAATGTAGACCCGTTCAAGTGCTTTTTATATGAGATTCAGACAGAATATTTTGTGTTACTAATATTTCAACTAAAATTGCGTCACTAATTCACAGGTTGATAAATCGACTTTCTCCAGTTCTGAAACGTACCAAAGAAAAATGCATCTTTGCGGGTCAACCAAAAATTAGGTTGCATTTTGTCCTCCATTCGTCCCCAGTAATGCCGCACGCTTCATTTGTAGCTACCTCTAAAGAGAAAATCACATCGCCCTGTCGTAGCTGGCAACTTGGTTCTATCCAAATATATCGATGCATATCTTTGTTTATTTAATTAATAACTATATTAAAACTAAAACTTTGTTTATTGTTATCAGCAGCAACACTTCAATACATAATGTGGTGAATTGACATTAATCAAATCCAAGCAACGTAACATTTTAATTACATTGTATTCTGTATTTATCAAACGATTAGACAATTGAAAACATTTGCTTTACGTAATAAAAAATCGGTTTGCATGTGGCGCGCATAGTTAAATAACGACAAACTAATTTTTTTCAAATACATTTTTAAGTGGTTCGTATAAGGTTAATTAGCCAGAAAAATTTTTTAAAATTGTTTGCTGTACACAGACTGTTGGGCGTGACAAACAAATTGGACATCTGCGACTTAAGGCCTGTTGCATAATACTGCAAGTCACGAAATAATTAAGTCTACCAGTTTTTACAACGACTGATCAAAAATTCAAACAATTTCAAATTACATGTTTGAGCAGTCAAAATATTAAATTGAGGGCAAGTTCGTGCGCTTAATGATTGATTGGAACATATAGTTATTAAATTAAGTAATTCAAAGTTTGTAACATTTTAATCGCCACTATTTAGTACTCGTGGGAAAGATAAGTATTTTTTGGCAATATTGTCTTAAATCAATATTTTGGGAAATTCTTAAAGAAATATTCCGATTTTCTCGCTGCCAGAAAACGACACAGCGCTCGTTCAAATACGACAAGGCGTGATAACAAGATAAAAATGTGTTGGAGAATACCCCATAAGACAATGAGATGAAATGTTCCCTAATATAAAAAGACCTGAAGTCATAACGGATTCGCAGTTCTCTATAACCAGTTGCAAAATTAAACTTGAAGAAAATGACTACATGTATCCAAAGTGAAATTAACCAGTGGGTTGCCGATACCTTCAAAGAGAATCAATTCAAAGACCTCAGTGCTGAAATAGTTGGAACTTCAGAACAGGGCGAAGGGTACCTAGGAAATATAACTTTTGCCAAAGTCACAGGTGTACCATTTTCTGGAAAAGCCAAAGAATTTCACGTAGTTATTAAATCGGAAAAACGAGGGGATGGCACCACAAATCTGTCTCCAGTCCAACTGGCCTATGAAAGGGAAAACTTCTTCTACGATAAAGCAGTTCCCGCTTTCCAAGAAATTGAGAAAAAATATGGAATCAATATAACTCAGCAATTATTCCCGAAGTGTTTTAGTACCCTTTCCTACGAAGATCAGCAATTGATCGTATTGCAAAACCTGAAGTCTTTAGATTTTGAGCTTTACGACAGACACCAGCCCTTCGATATGGAGCATTTGAAAGTCACTCTTTCAAACTATGGGAAATTTCACGCTTTGAGTTTAGCATATCGGGAGCACAAACCTAAGGAATTTAAGGAGCTATTTAGTGGACTGCCATGTGCGATGAAAAATATTATCGAACTGACGAAAAATTCAGTAGATGCAGCTGAAAAGTGTCTGTACATGATGCTAGAGGAAAATCAAAAGTTTAAGGCAGCTGAAAAACTGAAAGAGCTGCTTCCGGATGGAGTCACCGCAAAAATTCAACAAATGTTAAGAATTCAAGAGCATGAAGAGAATGCGGTTTTAGTGCATGGAGATTGCTGGAATAATAATTATATGTTCAAATATCCGGTAAGTCAATTGGGCAGTCAACACTCATTGATTAATACAAAAAAAAACGATTATTCAAATTAATCAATCAATACACCGCTATTTTTATATAATTTTACAAATAAACATGTTAATTTTTCAAATAGAAAAATGTATCTTTTTTCAACATATAAATAATTGTTTGATAATTTTAGAAGCAAGAGAAGACACTACCGGAATCGGTAAAATTCTTGGATTTCCAAGTAACCAAGCTGAGCTCACCAGTAATGGACCTATCATATCACATTTATGCAACGGCTTCAGAAAAAGAACTTGCCCAGTTGAAGGAATTGCTTCAAATCTATTACTCGTCATTATCCAGTATGCTGAAAAAATTGGGGTGCGATCCCGAAAAAGTATTTCCTTATGAAGAACTAATCAGGCAATGGAAAAAATATTCGTGTTTTGGTTTTGCGATGTCGTCGTTTGTCTTACAAATTGTTTTATTGGAGAAAGAAGACACCATTGATATCGAAGCAATGGGGGGAGAAAATGTAACGGCAAACATGCTAAAATCGAATAATTCGTTAAATAAGATATACTCAAGGCTGAGTGCTCTAGTTGAGCACTATCTTGAATTTGACGATTTTTAAGTCGAATATGCCAGCAACATTGTGATTAAATAACAAATCCAATAGTTTGATTTGTTATGGGTAACGCACACGTGAGGTGATTGGTTTTTTATTTTGCTCATAAGGTTACGTTTTTTGCTAAATTAGATTTATAATGTTTAAATAGTTTATACTGTTCTAGTTGAAAATTACTACTCAGGGAACTCATTAAAAAAATAAATTAACTCATAAAATGACGAAAGTTGTCAAATTTGTATATACATACAAATCGGGCGATATCTGGTAAAATTGTGTATCCAGAAAAACTGTCAAAATCAAAGCAACTTGAATAGATATTGGTGAGAATTACTCGAAATGCAAGAGGAAGAATAGTTGAACATGAATAGTTGAATGTTATGTTTATACTTTAAATAATATAAATCCGATGGATTTCTAATAGGCGTCTAGTTGTCTTAGATTTTACACTCATTTTTATTGTTTTATGTAATATATTTACCAAGATTACACTTGAAATACGTTGTTTTTTTATTACGTTTAATGCTTTAAAAATATAATTGGTAACAAAAGTATCTGTTGAGATTGTAGATTTAAAAGCTCAATTTATTCAGAGATTAGTACGTTTAAATTGAATCATTTCTAGCGCTCTAAGACATCGTATAGACAAAATTGATAATTTTTAGTAAAAACTAAGTATTATAATACGCACATCATAGTCTTTGCGCGTGGGTTAGCAGGTTAAACCAGATAACAGAGATAATAAAAATCATCATATTTAACAGCATTGTAAAGGTTTAAGAATTAATAAAGAGAATAACTAATATGCAATCAAATAAGATCAACTAGTCTATTTATCACATGGTTTTTAAATGCGCATTTATTTTCTATGTTTTACAAAAATGATAAGTACCGTTAATTTATCCACTAGATGGATGAAGAAGTAGTTGTTCATTTATTTCCGATAAATAACTTTTTTTAAATTATGTAAAGTTTTAAACAATTTATTTTATTTAATTAATATAACATTAAGCCATTGATTGTCACATATCTTATTGCGAAATCATTGGAGACACAGTTTCCGCTTTCTTACCACTGGATAGAGAATTGCAAACACCATTTATTAAGTGAAGCAGTAGCTGAAAAAATGCGAAATTAAAGTGCAAGTTTAGGACAAAAATTCAAGCTTTTTTGCTCGTATCTCAGGAACGGCTTAAGCTAAAGCGCTTATTTTGACACCATTGGATAGCGCACTAAATATTGCATACACGCATGCACGACGCAAACCCCCCAAGTAGCAAATCTTGAGAGTGTATACACAAAAATACAACATTTCAAGAAAACTATTATTTTTTCGCAAATTCGACTCATGGCGCCGATTTTTGTGTCGTATCTCAAAAAGTATTTTAGCTATATCGCCCGTTCTTTTACCACTCGATAGAGTATTAGAGGCTCTACTCAGTCAATAGAGTCAGTGAGCTCTACTGATTTTTTTACTAAAAAAGTAAAATTTGAATATTACATTTAAATGCAAGGTGAGGCAAAAATGTCATCCATTACGCCATATCGCAAATACAGATTGAGATAGAGCCGCATTTCTGCGCCAATGAATACTAAATAACTAAATATCTCATTTAAGACGTGTAAAAGTTCAACATTTCAATATATCTACTTGTTGCGCGGTTGTTTTTTAAAGTGCCAACTCGACTCAAACATTCTCCCGGTTTTCGCCGGATCTCAAGAACTATTTGAGCTTTTTTCCACCATTCGAGAGCGAATTAGAGAGCTGATTCACGACGCAGAACTTCAATAGAGACATGTAGTAGAGACTAATGGCAAGTATTACACAAGAAGTGAAATTTCAATGCCATATAACTACCTGCAAGATTAGGCCAATATTTCATACTTTACGCCGCCCTTTTGTTCATTTCTGAGGAACAGATCAAGTTAGAACGATAATTTCTGTGCAACGCGGCCCACAACTGAATAGTAAATTTTTGTAAGTTTACATAAGTAAAGCTTCTCTTGGAAAGTATTAACAACTTGTGATGTTGGCCCAAACAAAACTTCACTTTTTATCACTTATCCAGAACCTTGATATCCACCGAATCTACCAATAGAGGGAGAATAAAAACTGTTGTTAGGAAATAAGGTCAGTTTTGACACAAAGAGCAGACACAAAGTTAATGCCAAAGTTTCATATATTCCGCCACGTTTTTCCTCAGTGATCATACAGATTCTTCAAAAATTGTACAATAATAACAATATCATCAGGATGCGTAAAACTCGACTTCTCGCTTACAGTTTTGTTTGTATGTTTAGCAGCTTGACTTCACATATACATGCAACAGGAAACAGAAAGAAGTAGAATTAGATGGTTCCAATATACAGATTTTTACATCTAATTCATTTGTCACCACAATTTTTTATTTCCTCCGTCCATTTTTATGTTTTTTTTAATTTTATGTCCAAAACATATTAAATCCTGTTAGGGCAATTTTAAATGCAGTTAAAAACTAAAGCTTATAATAATATAAGTTCAGCAGTAAAACATATAAAGTAGAAAAAATGTCTCAACTGTGAATGTTTCACTGTGATTGAATATTTGCCTATATTGCAATGAACCACATAAACCGTAGTGTATTGATTATCTCAATCCTAACTATTTCAGGGATAAATTCAATTATTCCATTCCAGAGAAACTGTGTTGAAAAGCCTTTCTGTTGTGAACCAAATTAGCAAAACTCCAGCAAAGACTTCACCCCGATAAAGGGCCTGAATGAATGAATGAATAGCTCAATTAAACCTGTAATTAAATAATTAATACAAAGGCTTTCCATTAAGCAATTTTACACTAATAAATGTAAAGAGAATTATGACAAATGCACAAACAATGGAACAATCAGAATGATTTTAAGCTGGATTTCCCATAGAATTGTATTCATATTTGGAGAAGTTTCGGACAATAGACTAAACGAATAGGTAGTATGAAATTAGTTGCGTAATTCCATTATTATCAAAATATGGAATAATTGCCGGTTAAATTGATAATGGCAATGTTGTTTACTGGCTGTTTATTATTAAGTTCCTGGATTTAATAGCCGGTTATTTTTTCGAGAGTCAAATTAGACAATGCAAAGCATTCATTACTATCAAAACTGGTGTATTAAGTTTTGCGTTTTGAAACATCACAAATTCATTATGAGGTAAGAGATATATATCGGGTTCTCCAAAAAGGAAAATATATATTCCACGCATTTAAAATAAAACCAATTTTTAAATTCAAAATCAATTATGCTACAGAAATTGTGGAATTTGTTTTTATGACGATAGTGTGAGATGCTGAAAAAGTCCACATTTTTTTTGCTGATCGTATTAACGTCAATTGAAGATAAACAACTAAGTGCTACTAAGTGTGGTTAATTTAAAAAATGACCCCTACGCTTAAACTATATATGTATATTGAGATGTTGCCGACATAATTTGGTCGCAAGTTAATGAATTCGGGACAATAAAATGTGTTTGTTAACTACTGAAAAATGCAAGCTTTTTAAATTTGGTGGCCACAGTAGTTTTGATAAAAAGAATATGAAAGCTTTTCTTAAACCGAAAAGATGCAATTGAGAAGAGGAAGCAGCTTTCTCATTAAAAGACTGAGACTGACACACATCGACTCAGAAATCTCATTTGAATTACCTTATTGTCATTTTTCTCAAAAAGTTTTGGCGTTGATTAATTTTATTTTGTCAGCTCAGCATAACAAGAAGAATAAAGCATTACAGTATGGATTTACTTCATGAATTGACACGTTGATAATTCAGATCCTTTAGTTGAAGTGTGAAGATGGATATACTTCTAACTTACTACTAACCACTTAATACAGTTGTACTTAGAATTGTGGATTGGCTTCAAACTTTCATTAAATTTAAATGGAATTTTTTATAAAACGTCCTAAAGATTTATTGGATATTTCAATATATGAAAATAAAGTTTCAAAACGTATAGATGGTAAAAAATTCATAAAATAAATAATTAGCGGGTAAGCGCAAGGTGATTCAAGGGGGTTTAAGGAGTACAGGAGAAATAGTAAAAACACTAATTCTTCTTAAAAACGGAAATATTTGCACACAACTAGATCAGAAGATACTCAACAACTTTTTCAAGGCAAGCTGTGTCGATAACATTACTGATTGCTTCTTAAATATGTGTAAACGGTACCTCAAACAGCATTGGTTAAATCTAGAAACTCAGTTTTTGTAATATCAACATTGTCAACGAGGATTATTTCTTTTATTGTCACCATAATAGGTTGATGTAAACATTACTATGTTCAACTGGGAAAGTGCCAGTTGTTGTGCAGTGCTCCGGTTATTTCTGAAGGGTTCCGCTGCAATTACCTTAAATGCCTGTTCCTCTGGGTCTGGAACACCTCTTGGTCGTTCATTATCTGCCTCAATTCCTCAGCTAATCCAGTGCACCTAGCCCTTGTCGTGTTGATGTATTATATTCAGTTCTTTTCTGTACTAGTAATAGTCTGAAAATGTAAAAAAGGTTTTCATTTCACTACATTTCAAGAGACTAACAAGACGGCTGACTGTTCAAATGTTCAACAGAATTCAACTGCAACTATCAGGAATAGAGACATGAATATACTTGTTTCAACTCTAGTTTTGTCGGAACACTGGGAGGATGTATATGACTCACTTTTTCATTTAATACTTCTCAGTAAAATATCACATTAAAAATGTTGCTTTGATGAGCAACAACAAAGTTGCCTTTTGTAGAATTGCAGACTAACTTGAGGAGATTTGAATGCTGTTCCATGTCCTTTAGCAGGAGGCAACAGACAAGTTTTTTGCTTAAACTCCCTATCGATTTGTAATTAGTTGAGTGCAAGCGGACAGGTGGAAAATTTAAAAATAAACATTCGCGTAGCAGCATCGCTTGTGGAAATTAAGGCAATTAAGTACTCGTTGGCAGCCGCTGGTCAATATGGTGCCACTGTGATTGATTTCATAAAGCCGACGTCCAGTGCTAATTTATCAACTAAAACTGAGTTCAGAATCCAATTTAATTACGCCGCATGGCATGCCATCTGATTCGCACAGTTAGTAGTTAATGCGATGCTTGCTTTGTTTGCAGTTACAGAGTTACGATGGAACTTCGGATCGAGCGTGTTGCAACTGCTCTATTTACGTTTAAATTAAATTTTTTGGAGGGACTTGTTTCGATCTTCGTTCTAGTTTCATTTACAATACTCCCTTTGAAGCTTTCCGCGATTTATTTCTCATTTTGCTGCCAGGCAGAGTTTTTCCTTATGGGCAGAAATGGTTTGATTGTCGAAACTTGGATTGCCCAAAATTCAGCCGGTAGATCCAAATGAATTCTTTACAGATTTTTGCATTACTAAATTAACAAAATGCTTCAAATCAACTGCTAAACTTTGCTTGTTTCTGTATAAAGTTTACTTCAAACTGTTATATTTGTAGCCCGTTTGTCTAATCGTATTTTATATTTTTCTCAAAATCTAACCAGGAAACTCCTGAGCTTAAGAAGTCATTTAAAAAAATATGTTGATGAGTTTATAAATCTTTAAAAATTACATATTTTTTATTCTGTAAACTAAATAATAACATTTGAACATGTTTCATCTTTCAGTTGAATAAAGTCCAAACTGATACAAATATGCCCATCAATCGCATGAAGACATTTGATAGACGGTTCGAACTAGTTCCGTTTTACGACCATTAATACAAAAGAAAACGAAAACTATTTTCATTTATTATATTCTAGTAAGATGTCGAATATACATAATTTTCTGTTTTTCCTTTAGACTTCTTCGAAGGACTCGTATTTTCGACGAAGGAAAAGTATTTTCTTTTTTCTAAATTACTAAATTAAATTAACCTAAATTAAATTAAATTAACTAACAAAAAATATGCAATATTTTCGTGAGCTCTTCACTTCGATTAGCGTTAGGCTTCAGTCAAACAGATATATTTTTATCAGGCCGAGCTCTTATATTCAATGGGATCCATTCTCACTTTTAAAGTAATTAAGGTTAAAACTTAGAAAAGTTTTCTGATTCACTAGATTAATTAACATTCTTTTACGACCGTTAAACATAAATGATTCTATCGAACATTTCGAACTTTGATAACCTAGATTTGTAAGAACTTGCGAAATTTAAAATTCGGTTTTGACGACATCAGCAAATATAACAATGGCAAAAAACAGTAATTTCTTTAAGTCTCATAATAAAACTATCGATGAAAGCGTTAGAAAGTCGGTGCTTTTGAAGTTATGTAAAGGCAATTGTTTCTTAGTCTTGGGTCCTTAAAAAATCATACAAACGGTTGAAATCAACGTGTAAGTAATTCAGCACAGAATCATTATATTCTTAGAGACAATTTATTGAAATGTTAACAAATAATTTAATTTTTTTATTAAGGAAATTCATTTTGTTTGGATAAAATAAACGGCTATTCGACGCACAAAGCGTCCAAATCTTCCCTTACGGCTCTTCAATTAATGAGTTAAAAACTTTAGATTAAAGAATAAACAGGCTAACTTTATTTATCAAACGTTGAATTCGTTTTTCCTTTTAAATGTAAAGTTGAAAAAAGGTAATAAAAGTGTTTCTTAGAAGACTTGCTTTAGTCCATTTCACTGAACCTGCCAAGTTCTACCAGTTTACTGATTCAACTTCTAAGTGCTCGTATTAGTAACAACATTTTTCGCTAATACTGTTTCGGTAAACCATAAACGATTGCAACACATATTCAAAGTATAATCGATGAGAAAAACGCACTAAATTTGATTACAATGAACATAACACAAATAAAGACAATAAAACACTTAAACGACTAGCATTAATTAAATTAACACCCGATCACAATAAATTATGACCCGTGTGTATTTTATATCGAGGCCCCCCAACCCCAAAACGTAAATTAACAGATTTTACTGTTATTCTATCTACGCATCTAATTGCATTTGGCTGCCGATGCCCAAACCATTTATTGCTATAATTAAGGCCGACGATAATAATGCAGCAAAATTTGCCATACTAAATTAGGGATTGAAGGCAAACGGAGCGTCACTATCCCGCATTATTTCAATATGCAGATTGTTAATTAAATCTGCTCAAAGGCATATTTACATGACAGCAATCTGTCTAAAACATAGCTGAGCTGGCCGCCGCCGTTTTAATTATGTTGTGTAACCGTGCGTAATTTCATTAATATAAAACACAAATATCCTCTCTCTTAAATAGGGAATTATTCGGTTTGCAGTAAACACTGTTGTTGGTAGACATACGTTTTATTGAAATTAAACTTTCTTATTAAGAAGCATTAGCTCCTTATTCATAAAGCACCGGCTGAATCACTATGCATGTAAATACAGTATTTTTCATAACGTAGAATCAGAGGTAAATACATTGATAATGATTTATTACTAAAAACCTTTTTAAAAATACGCGACGTAATCAAACTGTTGCAGTTCAATAACGTTCATTACGCGATCAAGACCAAGATTACAAGTACGAATACAAGTAAGAACAAGACCATGTTTTGTGAGAACAAGACCTTTTTGCACCATTTTTCACACTTTCACACTACTTTCGATGAACGCTGGCTCACATTTAATTATATTCGGCGACGGAAATCAGCTTGGGATTTCCTGAAAAAATCGGAAACCGCAAGTTGATCGTTTGTCTGTAAAGCAGTGGCAAAAATCTCGACTAAAACGGGGTTCTTGCAAGTTGAAGCAACTTATTTATATTTAGTTTTAAAGCATTAGACTCTGGATCAAAATAAGACATGTGTAAAAAAGGGTTTTTAAAATGTATTTCTATAATTACAAAATAAATAAATAAAAAAATAATCACCAATACTGAGAGGGTTCCTTGTGTATCAAACGATAATTTCAGTAACGCCAGTGCGACTGGAACTGAAATATCAACAGAAAATGTGCTAAAATTCAAAATAATTAGAAATATGCAAATTGACAAAAAATATTCGAATTCAAAGAGCAAATTTAGGAAGTTTTCAAAATAATCGGAAAATTTAGGATGAGTGCATTATGCAAACCAATGAAAAATACATTAAATGAAATGTAAATAAAATATTGGAACACATTTGATTAAAAATGTCATTTAAGTGCAAATAATAAAAATGCTACCCAAAATCTGTTTCCTTCAGGCTAAACAAAAATTAAAGATTATAATTTTCTTGAGCTAAAAATTGATAAAAATAGGGAGATGCAGATTGAACAGGTAGTAGAGATTCTTTATGCGGATTCCAAACTTTGAAGAAAATTTTAAGAACAGGGTCCCATGAACGTTCGTTCGTTCGTTTTCCGATACTAAAAAATTTTTGTGAATGAAACTAAGGTACACGTATAAATATCTTAAAAACACCTACGTTGGTAATTCTGTTGACTGTTAATTATCCTGTTTGTAATGCTATTTGTCTAATATACGCGGCGGGGAAAATGCTTTAAGTCAAATATAAAAATTAAAATATCTACAGCTTAAATTTTGTTGTACTTTTGCTGGAATATGAAAAGTATACTAATAAACTTTAATTTTGATTGTACGTATTTTCGAAAAATTCGCGTTTTTAATTAACCTTTTATAAAACGATCATCAACACGGAAATCAAATGTCAAATAGGCTGATGGGGTTTCAAAATGCGGTTCCAAAAGGAACATCTTGCTTTTTAAATTTTTCATTAAAATTGCAGAATGGTGATGATAGTAGAAATGGTTATGATATATAATGATTTCCTTTAAATTAACTACTTAAAATTACTCCTTAGAAGTAACTACTTAAAGAACAAAAAACTAACCGTTCGAAAAAAAGCCTTTAAGTCGACAAACGGCTGCAGCTGGTGCGAACTGTGCACAACTGTTTCTGTTTTATGAGACGGTTCCAAAAAGAACGGTTTAAGTCGGTCAACGGCTGCAGCTGGATAGATCGCTCGACGGTGTCCGAAGTGCGCACTGCTATTTCGGTTTTATCAGACGGTTCCAAAAACAACCGATTCAATCGGCTAGCTGTAACTACGGTTTTAGATTACACGTTTGAAACACTGTTATTTTAGCGGTTTCGTTAAATACCGACCATCCCTGGCCGTTATACCGCTATGCCATTAGGATGTACTGCTAACACATTAAAAACTATATATATTTAAATATTACTATGGCATATTACACTATTTGTCAACCAATTGGCTACATTGCACTGCGATTGACGATTAGACTACCTTTTTTTCGTTTCTCGTTTCCGAAAGCGCGTCGTAATATCGTCTTGGCTCAAGACCACTTAAAAAGTTCGCAAAACCCAAATTACCACAGTAATAAAGTTAAGTTTTCTGTCGCTTTAACGTTGCGAGCAACAGTACTTGCCACAGTAGACTGCTTTACCAGCTAATTTATCATATGATATTTAAGATGTGGCTTTGCCATTTTTTAAAAATCGGTTTAAAAATTGGCAAAAATCGGACGTTAGGGCGATTGAAGTGGAAACTT